AGGACAAGACATCATCCCCAACAGCTGAGACCAAATATAGATGTCCATGCCCTGCGCCACACCTACCAAACCTATGCCAGCACCCAGGGACCCAGACCCAGAGAGAGATCTTCACCAAGGAAAGGAGTTGCATGCGAGGTATCTTTGTAGTCTTGTAAAGTTTCATGTAGAAAATGCTTTTGATGAGTACATGGAAAGAAGATGCCTTGTGCTACAGAGTTTTTCCCTGACCGGTCACACAGTGAGGACCAAAAGTGAATATGTCATACAATGACATACATGCCTTTCACTGGTTTTCATCTAGGTTGAATTAAGATTCAACCTCGACAGGGGAGTAGACCTTCCAGTTGTACCAGGAATAAACAGAGCCTAATCAAGCCTGCCAATCCTTAAGGTGAGTGGGGATAGGGTTCATGATCAAGGAACACCCTACACAGTTCAGGGAGACAGTTTCCCCAGGCAGCACTCACTGAGGTAAAGACTCATGCACAGGAACACAATGAGCCCAAACCAGGCATTGAAGAACATGCTGAAGTAGATGATGCCAATAATGATGTCAGCCAACGTGGGGATGATGTTAAACACCAGGTAGCTAGAAAAGTCAAGTGAGGAAAAGGTTTGAGGATTTAGACCAGCAATCTTATCTCTATGAACTTATATTAGTGTAATGTTTCATTTTCAACAGCAAAAAAATCTAACTACCTTTCAAGAGGTAGCTAGATAGCTAATAAGGTCTGGTAGCAAAGGCCTGTAAATCTAGCCCTCTACAGATTAAGGCAGGAAGACTGAGAGTTTAATGCTAGCCTGCCTGGGTTAAGGATATGGGCTGGGGATATGGATAGAGTGTTTCCCTAGCATATGCCAGGTTGTAGGTGGTTCAGTCTTCAGTATTGCATCTTTCTCTTTCTCTTTTTTTTCTCTCTCTCTCACTTCCTTTCTCTCTCTCTCTCTCTCTCTCTCTCACACACACACACACACACACACACCCAAAAATAAAAACCCAAAACAACAACAAAATAACCTATCACATAAGAGATCTTTGTGCATGGATGAAAAGGAAGAAAAGGAATCTCAGCTGGGCATGGTGGCACACACCTTCAATCCTAGCACTGAGGAGGCAGAGGCAGGCAGATCTCCAGCCTGGTCTACAAAGGGAGTTTTAGGACAGCCAGGACTACACAGAGAAACCCTGTCTTGAAAGAACAAATGAAGGGAAGGAAGGAAGGAAAGAAAGAAGGAAGAAAAAAAGAAAGAAAACAAAGTTTTGCTAAAGCAATTTTGAGAAAGAACCTATGTTATGGTATCTTTTGGCTTAAAATAACAGTACCACCTTAGTTCTGAGTTTTCAGAGATTTAAAGCAAAATACAAAAGCATAGCTTAACATACTAACCATAGTAGGGGAACTTGAAAAATGAATGGAATTCTTAAGGTTTGTTCTATCTGCATTTTCATTTCTTTTTAAATTATGTTGTTTGGTAGGTCTGGGAGGTATCTTAGAAGGCCAGAAGATGGTGTGGGATCTCCTGGAGCTAGCTAGAGTAACAGGCAGTTAGTTGTGAGCTGAGGCAAGTGGTGCTGGGAACTGAATTCAGGTTCTCTAAAGCAGTAGGTGTTCTTAATTGCTGAGCCTTCTCTCCAGCCCCCACTTTTGTTTCTTGAGACAGACTCCTAAATTGTCCAAGATAGGCTCAAACTCCTGTAGCTGAGGTTAGCCTTGAACTCCTGACCCTCCTACTTCTAACTTTCAAGTACTGGGATTATAGGTGTGTGCCACCACGTGAGCAGTCTACATTATTTGAGTTACTTGGCATAATACTTCTTCCTGTAATTTGCCAAAAAGACTGGAAACAAAGTAAGGTAGGAGGGGCAAGGCGCCCAAGCTGGGTCTTCCCAGCTCCCCCTCCCACACTCTTCCCACTGGTGTCGCACCTGAGCAGTCCTGTGACACTGGATGTGCCCCGGTCCACAACCCGAAGCACCTCCCCCGTGCGCCGGCCCAGGTGCCAGCGCAGCGAGAGTTCATGCAGGTGGGAAAAGAGGCGCAGTTCCACACCGCGGGATGTGAACTGCTGTACCCGGATCCACAGGAAGGTTCGGAGGTTGCTCACAAAACCTGCGGAAAACAGGGAAGCCTTAGTAGGTCTTGGGGGATGAGAAACATCAGCCCAACACCAAATGCTAGAGGTCTGAGCCCAAGGAGTCTGTGGAAAGAATAATTAGAAGCAAGACGGCGGGGGCGTTTCCATGGGAGAGACTGATGCCAACCAGGGTAAGGACAGAGTCCCTCATACCTGTACTGCCAGTGCCACCCCCCTGGAGGAACTTGAGGAAAACATAGATGGTAACAGTCCAGGCCAGGGAACTCCAAGGAGCCTTCGAAGTCAGTAAGTTTACTGTGGATTAAAGGTATCAGCGTTCACGTCCAACAACCAGGACTCTTGAAGGCAAAACTGCCCCAGGTTCTGACCACCCAGATACCGTCCTAGCTAAGGGCCAACCCAGCCACTAAGATGAACATACCCTTCCACCCCCTCACCAATGTCCCTATAGAAGATGGGGACCAAGACATTGAGTGCTCGGTCCAGCCCCATGAGCCCCAGGCAGATGAGTACTATCAGCTGTAATGCTGGACTCCCCCGAGGCCATAAGTAGCTACTCAGTAGGCGAAGCTTCCTGCCAAGGTCTTTCCAGGTGGATACCCGGTCTGTGGAGTGGACCTAGGAAGACGACATACAGGAGGGAAGTCAGAAATAAAGTATAATTGTCCCTGTATATTCTCAGGAAATAATAGATGGGACCACAGTCCACAGGCGCAAGGGCCTATTAGCACGGCAATGTTAACCTCTAGGCTCCTCCCTATTCACAAGCCCCGCCCTAGCTCAGACTCCCTTCCTCCCAGGTTTCAGGTAACCCTGGAGACTGGCATCCTCTCACACATACCCTGTCGCTTCTCTCTACTTTTCCCAGAGACAGCCTTGGGAGTTGAACAAACTTTTCCTTTTTCACCCACGGAGAGGCTGTCTGATTTCTTTGCTGTGCCTCTTTCATTCAGGGATGATGGCAGGAAATAAAATTAAACATTTACAAGGTACCGTATTCTACCCTCAGCACAGACACAAAGATACATGCCTGATCGAAAAAAATTAGGTATATACATGGTCCCTTTTTCTTTTTGTTGTTGTTTGTTTGTTTTTTCAATATGGGGAGAACTCACTTTGTAGACCAGGCTGGTCTTTAACTCAAAAATCCTTCTATGGGATTAAAGGCATGGGCCACCAAACTTGGCATACCTGGTTTCTTTCTACATCTTGGTCTTCTTCATGAACCCGTAGGGTGTATGACTGGGGGCGAAGTCCAGGGGCCCAGAGTCCCAGGGTAAACAGTCCTCCCGAGACCACATATCGCAGGACCCACAGGCCAAACTGAACCTAGAATGAAACCGAGCACAGGTGTAAACCAGAATGTAAACCCTATTGTATTGCTTCTTTTAACACTCAGAAGCTTCCCAGGGGCCTAGCAACAGGTTTTTTAAAAAAAAACCACAATGACTCAGCACAGAGACACACCCCATTCAATGCTAGCAATTCCCACCAGCTGCCTATCAGCTTCCAGCCACCGGCAGACACTCCATTTTTTTCTTAAGAGTCATGCTAAAGCATGGAGCCAGTAGGTCCAGAAACAGTACTTGTCAAACATCAGTGCTTCTCCTTCTCCCTACGAGGCCCCTCACCTGCTGGCCAAGATCTGCCCTGCCCCACCACCACTGTGGGCTGTTCCAGGATACCAGGGCCAAGTTCTCAGCTGCAAATGCCACGGTCCAGAGGAGCAGGAGACCCGAGCTATGCCTGAACTTCATCCAGACGCCCATTGCTAGACTCTGCCGTGCCTGGCGCCGTTCCACCACGAGCAGCCACAAGCCACAGGCGCTGGCCATACTCTCCAGCACAGAAGACAGCAATAGGTAGCCTGGCAAGCGGACCCCCTGTGCAGTGCCCACTCTGCCAGCCAGGCCGGCCAGGGGTAGTGCCACCTGAAGTGTGGCCAGAAACAGCTGCAGCGCGTAGGGAGCCACCCGAGGGCCTGCCGCCCAAAACAGTTCCTCTGTGCCCGCAGGCACCTCCCGACGCCTGCAGGGCAGAACCAGCACCAAGGCTAGAGCCCCCAGCGTCATGAGTGTCGAGGGCACGAGTGTGAAGAAGAAGCAGGGACTCAAGCCATTCTGAGTCCAAGCCGGACCCACCGGACCTTCGGCCTCGCAGTAGTTGCCCACAGTCACCATGGCGATGTGTGGCTGCTGGCCGAACTTGAGGTCACTGCAGTTTCAGGGAGTCGGGCTGACCACTCAGTGAGGGCCGCGGAGGCCAGCGTGTCTTGGGACATGTAGCTACGCCGCTGGGGTCGAGGGGAGAGCCGCACGTGGACTTGCCACACTGCCCACTCTGTTCGCGCACGCGCCGCCACCACGCACAGTCACGCAGGCCACGTACGCCGTCCTTGGCGAGTCCCACACGCTAGCAGCTGGGACCCTCAGGCTCAGAGTCACCGCACAAAAAATGTTGTGCCCTTTACGGCAGAGGCCCCGCCCACTAGCTCTATCCAGGGTTCCCATTGGCCAAGCGTGAGGAACGCAGACAGATGGACTGAGAGCTGGCTGGGTCACGTGTTCAGGGCGGGAAATCTGACCTCGAGTCTTACTGCGGACCTTGACCTCCACAGAATTGTCCGTCAGAATCGGCGCCACCCACCCCCACCCTTTAAATAGCTAGCACACTGTAGCCCAGCTGGTCTCGAACCCGCTTCAGTTCCCTTGCCTTAGCCACCTAGTACTGGGTTTCAAGCATGACCCAACAGGAGGACTTGGTTTTCTTCGGTGCTAGAGATGGAACCCAGAGCCTCATACATCAACAAGCAACTGGAAACAGCCCTTCTCTTGTTTCCGGAGTCTCCCAGCCGAAGATCCCACCCAGCTGCAGCACGAGAAAAAGAAGCCACAACCCGATCAAAGTCCCTTCTTTATTAAGGGTTATCAAGCTGTATAGGATTTCCCACCCTGTCCTGCTGCTGACTGGGACAGCAGAGTCCACCACTTTCAGCATAGTTTACCTTCCACAGTCGGAGCAGAGCTGGGGAAGGGAGTAGGGGAAGGGTAGGCGCTGGATCCCAGTGTGCAATGTCAAAGCCCTAGGCTAGGGTGAGTCCGGCGCCCTGCACCCTCCTTTAGGGAACTGAGGGTTGCAGGGCAGAGCTCTCCTGCTGGGATATAGATGACTGAGGTCACAATCCTGCCCTGCCAGTCCCTTGTGCAGGTGGGAGGAGTACAATAAGCAGCAGTGGGGCCCAGGAAAGCCTCAAATTCCCAAGCGCCCATCCTAAAAGTTGAAGATTCATCCTGTTCCTGCAATTTAGAAACCTCCCATCTTAGTGTCAAAGATAAGTGTGAGAGGAGCCAAGAGCTATGACTCTCACCCCAACAAAAAGCAAAAGCCGACCAGAAGGGGGCAAGCGAACAGAAGAGGAGCAAGCAGCACACACATGCCCGTGATGTGCGGGGAGTAGGAGAGGTGAGCTGGCTGTAGCACTGGGTGAGGACGGGGTGAGGTAAGGACCACAGCCTGAGCTGCTCAGGTATTCCAGATGGGGGCTGGGCTGCAGGGGTGGAGGATCTAGGCCCTGCCTCCCCACTCCACAGTTGGCACAAGTTCTTCTCTTGGCAGCTTCTGTGGTAGGAAGCCCTCCGGAGACTTGCAGGGGTGAATGCAAAGATGGCAGTACTGGGAGTGGGCTGGGGACCAGTTTCTAGCACCACACTCTGAGCCAAGGGAGTCCTGGGGATGAGGCTAGAGTCTTGTGTGCCCCTAGTCTCCAGGCCTCAAATTCTTCTTGGGCTATGGCCAGCCCAGTGTTGGCACCTCCCTTGGCCAGGCAGGGACACACAAACACCACACACGTGGGGCCAGGCAACACTCATAGAAGCCCTCTTCTGGCAGGCAGATGGTTGGCAGGGCAGCTGTTGCCTCCATCTTGGAGCATGGGGACCTCTTCTGCCTTGTTTATACCTGCAGAGAGAAAATGACTGGCAGTAGGGACAATCTTCAGCTATTTTCTTGTCCCACAGGAGTCTAGAAATAAGGGAAAGAAAAAGCTGGAAGCCTGGGGGATTAAGCCTTGAATTCCAGAAAGTAAAAAAGAAGAAAATTTATTTGTGTCTATAGGTGTTTTGTCTGCATGCAAGTCTGTGAATCACATATGTGAAGTGCCTGTGGAGACCTGAGGCACCATGAGGGTGTTGGAAATTGAACCCAGGTCCTCTGAAAAGAGCACCCAATGTTCTTAACCACTGAGCCATCTCTCCAGCCCAAGAAAGTATCTTTTGAAGGGGAGGGGACAACATTATGTGCACTTCTCTCTAGAAGTTACTGCTGCTGGCAGCTGTTCTTGGCCTCAGAGCCCTACCTTGTGCACTTGAGGGGGCAACTCATCCTCCGAGCCCTCCTCTGGCACAGTCTCCGGATGTCTTGACGCTGGCTGCCCATCTTCTGCCCATCCTCCCAGGGGCAGCCTGGAGAAGTGAGAGGGAGCCCGGGGCACTGTGCCAGGATCTTTAGAGAGAAGCAAGAACACAAAGAACAATGTGAAGGTTCTGGGGGCTACTTGGAGGGTTCGTCTCCTTGGACCCCATCCCGTTGGTCTTTCTCCTTCTAAAGAACCACCCTTCTTGGAAGCCTCTTTGCTTCCATTCCCCCAGTTGGATACCTGTGATGCCCCCGTAGCGCCTCTGGAAGCCCCCATGCAAGGCAGTGGTCTCGGGTGCTCCAGGCCGGGGTGTAGCACAGGGATAGCTGGCAGACCGGGGGATAGGCTGGGGGGCCCGGGCACCCTCTCCCCCATCTTCAGGGGCACTCTCTCCACTCTCATCACTTTCCCGGCGGTGCCACACATGCCGCTCAGGCTCAGCCTGGGTCTGCTGCTTGTGGAGCTGGAGAAGGGGGGATTAGTTGAGGACAGGAGGGGTTCTATCTGAAACAGCCGTACCTGCCGCAGTACCTCCCATTCCCACTCACAACCCTCACCTAGAATCTTACATACACAGCATCTAAGATGTTAGCAGTGTACAACAGAGGTGTGATGCTTTATGGAGACCTCTGGAAAAGTGTCTTGAGTAGTTCAGGTTGACCCTGAATTCAATGTGTCATTGAGAATGATCTTGAATTTCTGATCCTCCTGACTTCATCTCCCCTGGGATTTCAGATATTTAGGTAGTGCTGGGGATGAAATTCCTGGCTGTGCACATGCTAGGTAAGCGCTCTATTAAGTGAGCTATACCTCCAGCCCTCATTTTACCCACTCTTTGGTTAAGGAACAAGTTAACAAAGTGTCTAAGTGCCAGGTACTGTTTTGGGTACTCAGAACATAGTGAACAAACAGAATTACCAGTCCTTGTGGGGCTTGTACACTAGTGATGGTGCTTATGAGGAAAAATTGATCATAAACTATTAAATAAAAGCAAAAACTAATCTTAGATAGTACCAGATGCTATGACTATGGAGAAAAAAACAGAACAAGAAAACTCAGGGCAACAGGAATGAGGCCAGCCTGGTCTACATAGTCAAGAGTCAGACTGTTTTAAAAAGTCAATAATAAAAGTAAGGGAGGGAGGGGAGAAGAGAAAGGAAGGGAAGGAAAAGATTAAGGAGGAGGAGCTGGGTCTGGAGGTACAGGCCTGTAACCCCAGCGACTTAGGAGACTATGGAAAAAAGGTCACAAGTTCAAAACTAGTCTAGGTACTCAGTGAAAACGGCTCTCAGAACAGTAAGGATATAAGCTTGGGGCTTGCCTAGTGTGTTCAGGGCCGAGTCTAGTCCTCAGTACATCAAAGACAGGAGGCTGTTACCGAGAACCATTAGAAAGTCTTGGGAGAGAAGAAGAGAGGACTCCAGGAAACAGGAGCGCACTATTGGCTAACGATGCCATCAAGCACATATGTGAAAATGGAGATTACAGAGCAGTTAAGAGGCAGGGAAGGGCTGACATTGACTGCCGTTCAGCTGGCCACCCACCTGGTGCATATAGAGGGCATGAAGGCTCATCTCGGTGGACGCGTATTCTGACAGCACCAGGCTCTGCAGCTGTCCCTCCCACACACTGCTCCCGGAGCTGGCTGTCCTGGCATCCACTCTGTCCCTCCCAGCACAGACAGACAGCAATCAATATTTTCAAGATCTACACATGTTTCGGTGGGCTATGCTATGCTTCCCCATCACGACCCAACTCCACTCACCCAGATCCTGTCATGGTGCTGGGAACCCGGCCTTGGGGGGCCTGTCCAGGTTGCAGAGGGGAAAAGGAGCGGAGGGCAGAAGCAACTTCAGCCCTGTGCCTGGAGCCCTGCAGGTCTCTGGACAGTGGGGGTCCCCGGCAGGACGAGCCAGCTACCACGTTTGCAATAAGACTCAGGGGCTATGAACAAAAGGAGTGAGCACAATTCTCAGGGCAGGGTGAGGCCTCTAATGTCCTGAACCTCAGGACCCAGCGACCCAAACTGAACAGACAGAGGAAACCTTCCACCCTGTCACCCTGTGTCCCGTGCTTATTCCCCTCACTGGAGAGCACTGTGCTCACCATCACCCAGGCCCTAGATACACACCTCGGACTCAGACTGTAAGGACTGAATGGACGTGAAAAGGGCATTCTCAGGGAGCAGACCACCTTGGGCAAGGCCAGCAGCTGCTCCATCTCGCTGCACCTGCTCCTTGAGGAAGCCCAGGAAAGCGGTGCTCTCACGAGGCGGCTGCCAGCCAGGATTGGTGATGGCGAAGTGCATGAGTGACAGCTCGGTCTTCCCGTCCTCGGCCTGCTGGTACACTGAGGCCTCGGTCTGCCCTCCAGACAGCCACTGTGCAGGGGAGACAGCAGTAAGCAGGCCTGAATGCTTGCAGGAACTCTTCCCATACCATCCCTGCTGGGAAGAGGCCCTGGCCCCGGAGGATGGTGACCGCAGTTCACAGTCATCGGTCCTGAAACCCCGATGCCCACACGCTGGGTCTGTCATTTGTAGTGCACTTTTTTCAAGGGAGCATGGTTGCTGGTTTAAATCAAGGCTGGAATCCAGTCATATTCCCAGTGACCACTATGTCCCTGGCGCAAGGATGCCTGTAGGCAGGGCTACCTTTGTCATTTGCTGGCTCTGAAAGGATAGCTTCTGCAGTTTTCCCAAGGTGATTATGTGCACCATTGTCCCTGACCATCTGCCCCGACCTCCCCAGTACCTGAGGATGACCATGTTGGCGAACATCCATCTGAGCAAAGGAACAGGTGTCTCCAACGCCGACAACCTCTACTGTGAAGTTGCGGAAGAAGTCTATAATCTCCAGGGCCCGTGGGCGCAGGCAGAAAATGAGAATGAGGGGAGTGACAATGGGACTCAGCAACTCCTCCAGGATAAACACCTAAAAGAGAGGGGACTGAGGTTACAAGCAAACCAGAGACAGTCCAGCCCTTATCACCAAGACACCAGTCAGTCTCTAGCAGGCCCTAACTCCAACTCCACTCACTGCCTTGTACTGGAAGAGCTGGGCAAACTCGTCCCGGGTCTGCGAGCGGTGGGCATTACCCTGCCAGTGGTCAGGCATGTAGTGGATATGAGCGAGGATCACTCGGAGCAGCTGCTCAGGGCAGAACACCATGTGCTGGTCTGGGATGAAGGACCTGGCGGGATCAAGTTCATGGTAAGACAGAAGCCTTTCCTAGAAGGCTAGCCCGCTTGTTCCCACCCACCGCCCCGGCACACCTGCACACGGTCACCGTGACTCCTAGGAGTGTGACGGTCGTGAGGACATGTTCCACAGCCAACACATCTTCATCGTAGATAGTGAGAGCAATGAGCACAGCCAGGATAGAGCCAGCGAAGAAGGCACCGTTCTTGGCCAGCAGAGTCAGCAGTGGTGACAAGAAGCAATTCATGTACTTGGAGGCGGGCTTGTAGCCACGGTTGAGGCGGGATTGCAGCTCATGTTCCAGCTCATTGAAGTGGCGGAGGTAGCAACGGCCATACAGGGACCAGCAACGTGCTCCCAAGGCCCCGGGCTCTCTCTTCAACACCTCGGCATAGCTGAAGAAGGCATAGAGGATCTGCCAGATAAGGATGAGGGGACACAGCAGGAAGTTGGCGATGCCAATCCACAGGATGCGGTTGCTGAGGCGCTGGGCCAGCTCTAGCCGCTGTCCTCCACGTTTGTACTCAGCCTTGAGGCTCCATTCGTTGAGAAACAGAGAGCCAGGTCCCCAGAAGAGGATCAGCTCAAAGTTGTACTTGAGACCACGGGTAAAAAAGACAACCTCTCCAAGGCCAGGCAGGCGGAAGCGCAGGGGCAGAAGGGACTTGTTCACCAGTGCCACCATGTAATTCTGGAAGCGAAGGATGCGATGGTAGATGTCCAACTCCGTCAGCTCACGCTTGTGGATGCAGATCTGATGCTCTTTCTGTGTCTGCACAATCCGGGCCTGCACTTCCTGCCATGTGCAATATGGAAGGGCCGACTGCAGGGCAAGGGTGGACAAGGAGAGACAGCATAGATTTACCTGACCTGCTGTTCTAGTTCCAATCTGGAATGCCCTTCAAAGACCCATGTGTTAAGGGTTTGGTCCCCAGCCAGAGGTACTAATATCTTAGATGAGATAATGGGGACTTTGGATCCTGTCCCTTCCTGCCTTCCTCTTTACTTCCTGGCTGCCATGAAGTGAACAGGCTTCCTGGTATGTGCTCTTGTTATGTTATACTGCCTCATTTAAGGTACCAAAGAAATGGAACCAATCAAATGCAGCAAAAATCAGTCCTTTGTCTTTTTATGCTGACCATCTCAGATATTTTTTCCCATTAGCAGAACGCGACTACCATTCCTACCAGAGTGACAGCTATGGACATGTGATGCTTAGGAACGCACCTCATCCTTCTTAAGATGTCTTAGGTCTTACCATGGGGATACGCAGAGCATGCAGGTAGAAGGAGTGGATCTCCCAGTAGCAGCAAATGTTATAGATGAACTTGATAAGCCGGTGGATCCAGAAGACACCCGCAATGACCAGGATGGTGATGAGTGAGCCGTTTTCCTGAATCCTGGTAAGGAAAAAAAAAGGAAGGTGGGGTCCTGAGGCTAGAGTCTTAGTGACAGATCTGAAGTGTGAGTTGCCGCCCACAGGCCACTCTGTTCTCTGCTCATTAGCGGTGTTCCAAGGCCTTCATGTTACCTGGAACTACAGACTTGGGCAGGCAAAAAGGCATCTGGCAGAGTGACCTTGACGGGCTCAGTAGGGTGAAGACTGTGGTTCACCATCTTGTTGGCAAATAGGATGTCGTAGTCCACACAACTAACCAGGAAGGTGGTGAAGGCAACCACAAAGAGGAACTGCCTGGGAAGTTGAAAAGAAAGGATGCAGGCCAAGAGTCAGGGAGGTGCTGGTGAAATACCATAGAGCAAGCAATGAGCCTGGGAACCACTGAAGACGGAAATGAAAGGGGCCAGAGAATTCCTAATGGGCTCTGTCTACTGCTCAATCTCAGAAGACCTTTTAGGCACAAATGGCTATTGGCTCCTGTATTTTACTCTTAAGGGTTTTCTGATTATGGCCTATGGTTTCTAGCCTTTGATGCACGCGCATGCGTGTGTGTGTGTGTGTGTGTGTGGTTTTTCACAACAGGGTTTCTTGGTTTAATAGTTCTAGCTGTCCAGGAACTTGCTCTGTAGACCAGGCAGACCTTGAACTGAGAGACCCAGCAGCCTCTACCTCCTGAGTGTAGAGTTGGAGGTGTAGAGTTACATCACCAGGCTAGTGAACTCCTTTCTTATCATTAAGAAAAACAAAAACAAACAAGCAAAAAAAAAAAAAAAAGGAACTCCCATCCCACTGGGCGTGGTGGCTTGTGTCTTTGGCAAACTTCTGAGTTCAAAGTCAGCCTAGGGACAAACACCCCTCCCTTCCTAACTTCTCTGGCAACACTAGACTTTTTCCCCCACTAAAAAGGCTCTAGCCCTGCACCAGAGCTAATGTGTAGTCAGACAGAATACAGGCTCTTTCCTAAAACCTCCCTACTGAACCACATATTTCCTTCTACAGTCTTGAGAATGAGGTATATGTTCTTGTGAAAGACACAGAATCTGGGAAGCTCTTCATGCAAGAGGTGAAGCTCTAAGTTTTGATACCGTGCTGGTCCTTAGCTGTAAAGGTTTGCAGAGTTTGGGGCCTAGGATTGAGTTGCACTGGCAGGTGTGGCCAGGCATGAGCAAGAGGGGAGACTGGGATAAGCATCTTTTTACCACGGCACCCATCCCTTTGTATACTTACATGAGTTCAAAAATCTCTCCAATGAGCATACACGTGAAGCCATTCTTCTGATGAAGATTATAAACGTGTAAGTGTTAAGAACAAATGGCCAGTAAGCAGACACTTAAGAACACAAGACTTTGATGTCACCAAGTGCCAAGCTCAAGTCCTGGCTCTATAACTTTCTGGAGTGTGATTGTTAACCAGTTACTTCTTTAAGCCTTGTCCACAGTGGCAAATTAATAGTGGCCATACTTATATCTCAAAGTATTTAGCACAGAAATGACAGTCAAAAGACATTACCATTAACCATCCTATTAGAAAAGTTCTTATAAATTAGCATCCTATAAAAGTTCTTCATAAATGAACACAAGTGCAAATAGTTCTCTGTAAATATGAGGCATCGCTATAATTTTTTCTTTCATGACAGTGTTTCTGTATAGTGTTGGCTGCTCTAAAACTTGACCTAGAGATCAGGCTGGCCTTGAACTCACTGAGAGCTGCCAGACTCTGCCTCCCAAATTCTGGGATTAAAGGTGTGCACCACCAGGCTGGCCTTGAAGGTCCACCAGCTTCTGCCTTTCCCCTCCCCACCGAATTCTGGGATTAAAGGGGTGTGCCACCTCCACCCAGCTGTATTACTTTAACAATTTCAACAGGGTGTTGGTAGCACACGCCTTCAATTCCAGCATTTGGGAGGCAGAGGCAGGAGGATCTCTGAGTCCAGCCTGGCTTACAGAGCTAGTTCCGGGACAGACAGAGAAACCTTGTCCTGAAAAACCGAGAAAAACAATTGTTGTTTCAGAATGAGTTTCATTTCCTTTTCTATAGACTGAAGCGGAACTCATCCCCATTTCCCATCAGGGACCTAGCTCAGAGAAAAGCTAAAAGGTGCCCAAGCTCCAACACAGAGACACAAAGGATATTCGAGAGAAGAAGAGGTCGAGGTTCTCAATGTGGTGCCAAGGCGCTGTGAAAACAGGAGCATAAATGTCAAACTCCCGAAGTAACTATCCCCCGACCGCCCTGCCCCTTCAGTGTTCCTCCAAGAACTTTCACCCATGCCCCTGCTCTGGCTGTTGCGCCCCTAAACTCACATTTGCTCCCCTCAGCCACATGCACCAACAGGTCCTCTTCCCCTGGGGGTGAATCGCTATAGGAGGCCTCTAGGCGCTGATATTCAGTGTCAAACTGTGCCATCACCGCAGCCCCCTGTCCACCTTGTTAACCTGCCATTGGTGAAGAAGAAAAGAACCTGTATCAAATTTGGGCACTGTGTATTTGCAGTCCTGCCCACCAGGCCAGAAGGAATAAGACTGAATCCTTGGGATTTGTCTTTACCACTAACCCCTTTGACTCAAAAGCAGAGCAGGGATAATAACCCCAAAACAGGAAGCTTGGGACTTGACCGGCCCTTAATTCTGGTCATCCATTCCCAGAACCTTTGCTGGGTGGTTACTATGACAGAATCTGCCCCTTGGGTGTGGGGTGGATGTTTCATCTTCTGTCCAATAAGGAGAAAGTTTCCTCCCCTGCCCCTCCTGGAAACCCAGGTCTCTCTAGAAACTAACAGTCTGGAAACATTTTTGTAAACAAATGTTTAAGATAAGCACATGGCCCTACCAGCTCCATGGACAGTTTCTGCTCCACGCCAGTCCTGGATGCCCTGGTTGGACAGCTGCTGGAGGAAAAGGTGTCAGGCCTCAAAGGGAAAGGAATCTCGCCCTCCCACCCACCTGAGCCCCACTAAGAGATGGCAATGGGGAAGAGGCACCTTCTCGGCTGTGACAGACCTTTCCTGGATGTTCTATGTAGGACCAGCCATCTACTTCTAGGATACCCAGGAATAACTAAACGCTTGGACCCTGGGGAGACTGAGTCTACACAGCCCTTTGGGACTGTTTTACCTTTAGTCCACCTCAACTTCCAGAAATCAGACATGGTTTTCAGAGTCTAGAAAAGCCCAACAAGAGTCTTCTCTTAATTTTTTTCTGGACAATCCCTTCTGCTTCCCTAGCATCAGAGATCTAGGCAGGCATGACTTCTGGATGGGAAATTTCCAGTCTATGTAGACTTCAGATCCCAGTTGAATAAGTGGGTTCCCTTGGTGCCTAGAGCCAGGTGGGGTCAAGGATATGGTATACTCCCAGTCTGTGAAGACTCTAGAGACGGTGAATCTTGGTCCGACCTGGTCCCAGAGGGAGTCCCTTGGTTAGTGAAAGCGGTGTGCCTCAGGAAAAACACTCACCTGGTCAGAGTAGACCCAGGGCCCATGGATCTCCCCAGGAAGGGCCTGTGCTCAGGAGTGTTTACGGATGGTGGAGGGGTCGAGCCAGATCTACAGCTGATATCCCTGATGGGCTGGGATGCCTCCCCAAACCCAGCCAGCTAGACCTGAGCACAGCGCGCCCCAGGGTCGCCCGGCCCCAGGCCGGGGGCTAGGCTCCCAACAGCGGACAACCCGGCGCGCGGCCCCGGCGCACGCGCGCTCCCCTAGCCGCGCGCGCCCTCTATCAAAACATTCTGACTGCGCGCCCCCGGCCCGCCCGCGGCTCCCCTTCCCCCGCTACGCACCGCGAGCTCACTTGGGGCTCTGTGGGCACCCCCCGGCCAGCTTGGGTCTGGGTCTGAGGATTCCAGTTACCAGCCTCGCGTGTCAAGGCAGGAACTGTGACCCGGGCGATTCCAGAAGCCCGGTCTGTTCTCCTGGGCTCGGCAAGACCGGGAGCGCTAGGCCCTCCGTCTGTCATTTACTGTCACACTCAGCCAGTCTGACCAATGAACAAAGTGGGTGGAGACAAGGTGGCCAATTCTTGGCCCAGGGGGCAGGACGAAAGGTTGGAGGCGGGTCTTGCAGAGCAGAGGGCCAATAGTGTGCTCTACTTGGTGCGGGGTTGGGCTATGGGCGCCGCTGTGTGTCCCCTTCGCCGCTCCGTAGCCACCAGATTGCAGTGTTGCAGAAATCCAGCTTTCGAACGGTAGACGTGCCTGGGGCTCTGCCCTCCGGTCCTTAGGGGCGGCTTCTGAGGGCAGGGGGCGAGGGACGAGGTTCTGTCAGCATCGGAGCTAGTCGATTGGTTGGGTAGCCTTAGACTGGTAACTGCTGGACTCGATTGGTGTCTGGGTGCTCTTCGTTTCAGTTCCATAAGACCCTCACCTGTTTACTGCAGAATTGATTCATGGTAGCAGGTGAGGGCCGAGGGGCTCTCTGAGTGGGGATGGCCAAGCCGGGGCGGCTGGAGACTCGGCAGTAGAATCTTGTCCTGGAGGACTGTTTCTTCCCTCCGTTTCTGCTCCAGGAGCTGCTTTTGAGTTGTTCTGCTTCAGCCATGTCGCCGGCTCCAGGTGCAGCCCTGGCTCCTGCCTCGGTCTCTCTGTTGGACCTCAGCTCGGAAGCTCTACTCTTTCGGGACTTGAGCCTGGTGAGCCAAGTTCCCGAGGAGGCTCTGGCCGGGGCGTCGCGTGCTCCCTGCCCAGGTATCCGGGATGCTTTGGGGCGGACCTAATGAAGAACGTCACAGGGTTCCGTGTAGTCTGTCAACAAGGGCCGACTTTCACACCGTCATTTTCCAGCTTAGAAATCCACACTGATTCTTTCCGTTGGACACATCCCCTCCCCTCAACATATTTCAGCCTTGGGCAGTTTACAGCGCTGGCCCATGAATTGTCGCCAAATAAGTCTCTAGTTTTTATATCTCGTCATGTTAATACCACTGCTTTAGAAAACACAGTTCCTAGGTCTGTTTCAAATTGAAGTGGACTCTAGTCAGATCTATTCCCTTGTGTTTATAATAATACAAAGTTACTGATTTTATACGTTAGCCTTTGGTTGTGTTTTCTTGCACTTTTCTTACGTTGTCCATTGTAATTGGAACGATAAGATGTAAATTCGTATCTAGGAACTGGTTTTATATAGTTAAAAGTAATTTTAATCTGGGAGTCGTGGCACACACCTGTAATTTCAGCGCCTAGAAAACAGGCAGGAAGGAGAAGTGGGGGATCGAGAACAACCTAGACTATAAAGTGAGACCTTGTCAGAAAAAAACAAAACAAGCTGAGCGGTGGGTGCAGGCCTTTAATCCCAGCACTGTGAGTTCAAAGCCAGCCTGGTCTACAGGGCAAGCTCCAGGACAGACTCTAAAGCTACACAGAAACCCTGTCTCCAAAAACCAAAACCAAACAACAACAACAAACAAAAACAGAAGAAGAAAAAACGTAGCTCAGTAGTAGACCTGAGTTCCATCCCCAGTACTACAGAAGTATTATCTTAGGGCTTACTGGGTAGGGAACTGAAGTCCAGCTTTCTTTAAAAAACCTTGAAGTAAGGTTTTGCTTAGGTATCAAGATGTGGTGAAAGAGTCTCCATGGACTTGTTTTCCTGGGTGTAAGCTTGCTCATCCTCAAAGAGGTCACTATGTACATCCACACGTTCACTATTGGGAGCAAGGGGGTGTAATGGGTGGCCCATTATCTGAATCAATGTTTTGGTTTTGAGACAGGGTCTTTTTTTTTTGAGGCAGAGACAGGTGGATCTCTGAGTTCAAGGCCAGCCTGGTCTACAAGAGCTAGTTCTAAGACTGGCTCTAAAGCAACACAGAGAAACCCTGTCTCCAAAAACAAACAAAAAACAAACAAACAAACAAAAGATGTTTGAGGTCTTAAAGCCCCAACACCAAAAAGAAAAAGATTTAAAAGTATATTTATTATACAAAACACTGTGTCATCATTTATTTCATATTTGCCAGATCGTAAATTCTTGGAAGGCAAGGCCATGTTATCTTTTTCTTCTGTATTATCTTTTTAATAGGTATTTGCTATAGTTTTATGTACTTTCTACTTTCAATTACCCTTTTCTTCTGTTCAGGAGAGAGCACAAGTTCAGGAAGAAAAGTATCCCCAAGTTCTCTGGATATTTCAGAGAAATTATTTTGTTCAGCCTGTGACCAGGTCTTCCAGAACCACCAGGAGCAGGTAAAAGGCAAGGGTACAGGGCTAGCCATTAGTAGCAGAAGTGTCCTGATGGGTGGGATAAGTAGACTCTGCTTTCTCTAATGACTTGGTGCTACCTGGTTAAACTTCCTAGAGTTCTGTGACTAGCTTTGCCTACTGTACAGCGCCAAGGTAGAATGTCTTTCCACCTGCTCCTCCCTTTTCCTTCACACCAGAGAGAACATTATAAACTCGACTGGCATCGCTTTAACCTAAAGCAGCGTCTCAAGAACAAGCCTGTCCTGTCTGCTTTGGACTTTGAAAAGCAAAGCTCTACAGGTAATGCTGTGTATGGGAAAACTTGCATGGGAGCAGGAGGTGGGGGTGGAAGAGTTGCCATGGGGTGTGAAGAAAGGTCAAACATGGCTTGTCAGACTTCTATGTCCTTTATCTGTCTGCAGGAGATCTTTCCAGCATCTCAGGATCAGAAGATTCAGACTCCTCTAGTGAAGAGGACTTGCCGACACTGGATGAGAGGAGGGCTGAGTTTGAGAAACCTAACCGACCACGAGGATTCTACCCACATCGGGTCCTTTTCAAAAATGCCCAGGGCCAGTTTTTTTATGCTTATCGCTGTGTCCTAGGCCCTCACCAGGCAAGTAACAGTGCAGGTTTTGTGATCAGTCTCAGCTTTTATACACTCTGCCTACGTTTCCTCTAGCCAATGCATGTCTTATTTCCTCCCTTCCTTTTGGATTAGGCTATCGTACCCGACAGCATCGTCTTTAATTGAAACTGGCCAGAATATTGGAAGGGTCAAATATAAGGGGATTAAGTCTAAACTGTGATTCTACCATTCCCATCTTCTATCACTACCTCTCCAAATCTCAAATATCCTTCTTTGTGAAATGGGAATGAGGCTAAGGTAGTTGCAATGAAAGAGATAACGCAAGTGTAACACATGGTTTTTTGTTCTTAATGTATGCATCACATGAAATGTTTCTGTTGCATTTGTCATATAGGTTCCCCCAGAAAAAGCAGACTTGCTGATACAGAACCTGCAAAGTGGAGGTCCCAGATACTACGTGGTGCTCATGGCTGCAGCTGGGCATTTTGCTGGTGCAGTTTTTCAAGGGTGAGAGGGTGCTGCATAGGGTAAGGATGGACCCTATTAACCTGAGTACTGCTCTCCAGTACTGAGTTTGTGTCATCTACAGAAGAGAAGTGGTGACACACAAAACCTTTCACCGTTATACTGTGCGGGCCAAGAGGGGCACAGCGCAGGGGCTTCAGGATGCCCAGGGTAGGGCATCACGTTCTGCTGGAGCCAGCTTGAGGCGTTACAATGAAGCCATGCTGTATAAGGTGAGTTAGGTCTCACGAATCTGTGATAGTCCTCTGATCTCTCAGTCTTGCTAGTTTTCTGGGTGGACAATAGAATAAGGCTCTCTGGGAATATTTTCATTCTTTCTCCCTCTCTAGCTCCCACTCCCTGCATATGATCAGATGGCCATTGTTTTGTTTGGAGATTTTTTTTTTTAAAGAGCAGGTGAAGACAGGCTGCTAAGTAGAATTTCTTTCTTCAGGATGTTCGTGACCTGCTGGCAGGGCCACCCTGGGCTAATGCACTGAGGGAGGCAGAAGCAATACTGATACGTGCCCCACGCTCTGGCCGGTCCTTGTTCTTTGGAGGCCAGGGGGCACCCTTGCAAAGGAATGACTCCCGACTTTGGGCTATCCCCCTTACCACCCGAAGACCCACTTTTGGAGAGCTTCAGCGTGTGCTCCATAAGCTGACCACCTTGCAGGTGTATGGTGAGTACTCCAGGCCCTCATACACAGACCTGTGTAGACCATGGGGTTTTCCAGCCTGTGAACTGCAGCCCAGTTGACCTGGGCTGGCTTCTTCACACTTAAGTTTGAGAAAGACTTTTTTGTTTCACGGCAGATGAAGACCCTCGAGAAATGGTCAGATTTTGTTCACCTGAGCCAGTAAGAGAGGAGAGGAAAAAGGCTACTGATAAAGAGAAAACAAAGGTCTCCAATGATGAAAATAAGGCACTTGGGCAGGATGAAGAGTCACTCAAGCAAGGTTTGAGCACCATCTGGCAATTGTCAAATATATCTGCATGTCTGCCTTGGAAATGCAGTGACCAATTTTTTTTTTTTTTTTGATTTTTCGAGACAGGGTTTCTCCGTAGCTTTTGGTTCCTGTCCTGGAACTAGCTCTTGTAGACCAGGCTGGCCTTGAACTCACAGAGATCCACCTGCCTCTGCCTCCCGAGTGCTGGGATTAAAGGCGTGCGCCACCACCGCCCGGCTGCAGTGACCAATTTTTATAACTGACCTATCTACCAGTTGATAGGTGAGCCTTTAAACCATACCCACACCCATCCACTCATCTCTACCAGCAACTGTTTATAAAATACGGTATGTTGTTCTGAGACAGTCTCATTTTAGCCCCAGCTGGTCTAGAACTCACTGTGTAGCCCACACTGCCCTGAAATCATGATAATCTTCCTGCCTCAGCCTCCCAAATGGCTGGGATTATACCCATGAGCCACCACACCAAATTGCTTTCTTACTGAGGCACGGTCTTTGTTTTCTAGCCCAGGCTGGCCTGGAGCTCTCTATGTAGCCCAAGCTAATCTTGAACTCACTGTCCTTCTGCCTCCAGTTTTCGAATGCTGGCACTACAGGCATACACTAACACATCCATCAACTGAGACATGCTAGTGACCTTGCCAAACCTTATTACTGCTCATAGATATAGTCCTGGTACTTAGCATGGAGAGAATGTGTTGAGTTTGATTGGGTGTTGTTGCTTTCCTCTACTTTTTTTGAGACAGGGCATCACTATGTAGCTCTGGTTGTCCAGGAGCTCTCTTTGTAGATCAGGCTAACCTTGACTCACAGAGATTCACCTACCTCTGCCTCCCAAGTGCTAGGAGTAAAAGTGTGCACCACCATGGTAGTGCTTTCTTCTACTTTGTCCTAATGGTGTTCGCTGGGAAAGTCCAGGGATAGAATAAAAACACTTCATTTCAGGATGATCTGAGTATCTTTTTATAAATGTAAATCCATTATGGATGCCCACATCCTTCTACTCTCTCCCTATTCCTTAGATGGATCTAATATATTTTTTTCTAGGTTCAGAGTCTCAGGAAGAAGATGGCTCCCAAGTAGAGTTGGAGCTAGTAGAATTGACACTGGGGACCCTGGATCTTCGTGAATTTGAAGTATTGCCCAAGCGGAGGAGGAGAAAAAAGAAGAAGGAGAGAAATCAAGACCAGCAGTGTGGGACACATGTGACACTTCTTCAGCAACCTCAAGAAGATGCGCCATTGTCACAGCCAGACCAAGTGTTTGCAGCCCCACTGGACAGTTTGGTTGATGAGGCCAAAGCCCCTGGTCAGCTGGAACTCTGGGATATGCTTCTATCTGCTTGTCGAGCTGGGGAAGTTGAGGTGCTAAAGCAGCAGCTAGCTCCTGGGCCTGCAGACCCTGGAGTTCTGTCCCTACTCAGTGCCCCTTTGGGCTCTGGTGGCTTTACTCTCCTGCACGCAGCAGCCGCATGCGGAAGAGGCGCGGTAGTTCGCCTGCTGCTGGAGGCAGGCGCTGACCCCACTGTGCAGTAAGTATCCCCATCCTGAGCCAGTTAGGATTAAAGAGTGTAACGTGGCAGCTCCCTCTGGCACCTGACACTGTTTCCCCGGGGGATGCCAGTAAAAGCAGGAGGCAAGTTGAATTCGGTTTTGGGTTTTTGTCCTTAGGGACACTAGGGCTCGGCCACCTTATACCGTAGCAGCTGACAAATCAACACGTAATGAATTCCGAAGGTTCATGGAGAAGAATCCTGATGCTTTTGATTACAACAAGGCTCGGGTGAGCTGGAAAAGGAGCCACAGAGTGGGAGGGCTTCAGAGATCCTCACTAGGTCCTTTCTACTTGTAGTTTTGCAATATTTTTGGGAAATCCTCTAGGTACCAGGGCCACTGACTCATGAAATGGAGGCCCGGCAGGCTACAAAGAAAAAGGAGCAGAAGGCAGCTCGACGGCAGCGGGAGCAACAGCAGCAGAAGCAGAGGGAGCAGGAGGAACGGGAGCAAGAAGAACAACGGCGATTTGCTGCTCTCAGTGACCGAGAGAAGGTGAGGCCATCAAGTCTTGCCCTGCGAGGCTTCCATAAGAGCCTACCTCGACTCCCCAGATTGAGCTGTTATTTCCAGGACTCTTCTTTAACATCTGCTCTGTTTTTCAGAGAGCTCTGGCTGCAGAGCGCCGATTTGCTGCCCAGTTGGGAGCCCCGAGCCCTCCAGTTCCTGACTCTGCAGTTGGCAAAGCTGGGTATGGGGGCCAGGGAATGAGTGAAAGGGCGGGCTTCTGTGTAGTAGGCGTCACTAGGGGTGAGGAGAACAAGTGTCTTCATGGTGTTCCATAGGATCACAGAGGGAATTTGAGATTCCCTGGGCCCTTTACGGGCCGGGGAAAGTTTGTGTGGTACCTGTCCAGTCATTTTTCTTCTTTTGTTCAGACGCTGTTGGAGTTGTGGAGTGTCCCTCCAAGGCCTCATTCCCTTTCACTACCTCGACTTCTCTTTCTGCTCCACACGTTGCGTTCGAGACCATCGCAGTCAGGCAGAGAGGTCTTCTTCCTGATTTCTTATAGCCATCTGGGGGCAACTCTAGGCCCCGAGAGAACACATTCAGACCTAGAGTTTTTCTTTCTCCTCATGAAGCTCAAGATTATGTGGAAGATGGGGGTGAAGGACACTCAGGAGCAAGGGCAAAGCCAGGGCCACGGAGGTGTGTGGAGCCAGTACTGTCTTTGGAATTTTAATCACAATAAAGTTTGGCAAGAAAACTGTATCTGTACTTACATTCGGTGGGATTGTAGCTTTTGATTCTTTATGGCCACTGTGACCAGCACCAAAGGATCTTGCCCTGTGTCCCAGATTCAAGGGTCATCTTTCTTTCAGTGCCCACTTAATTCCATTGGTTCATATGAACTTTGTGTTTCTGAGAGAAAATAGGTATAGCCCCAGTGCAAAGTGCTATTGAGGATAGGCTTATCCAAAAATTGGATTGTGGGCTCACGTGGCATGTTTTCTAGCTCCAGCAATGTGACTTTGTTGATCGATCTATTAAGCAGCAGATGTCTTGGCACATATAGGGTCTGCTGTGGACCCCGCTTTGTCCAGTACCGGCCCAAGTTAAACCCATTGATCCATACTTGACCCTGGGAGAAGGGATGGAGTGGAAAAACAAAGGTTCAGCTTTCCATGGGGTGGAATTGCCCCTTCCAGACTTCTAATCAGATTAGGAATTTCTAGTCCCAGATTGTTTTTCTTGTAATGTGCCCCCCACACTTCAACTACCACCATTAGCAATACCTTGGTCCATCCAGATAGATGCAGAAATGTGTCTCCAAGTTTGCCTAACACTGAAAATGTTGTGGAATAGAAGGCAGGAACAGAAAAAACTTGAGGCTGTGCTCTTTTGACCAGCTGCAGGGGGAACCACCACCTTATAAGCTTATCAATCTTGAGAGGGAACATAGTCCACTCGGTGAGGAGAGTCTGCCCAAGAAGTGGTGTTTCTAACAGGCCCTGTGGGAGACAAATGAGAAGTGATTTCCTGAGTCCAGCCAAGCTCTGGAATGTAACTGGCCATGTCCACATCCTCAGGCACTGTTCTCTGCCGAAGCCTAAGGATGGAGTTCTTCCATTAGGCCCTGTTCTCCAAGAGAGGGCGTCAGTACTGGGGAAGAACAGGCAAAACCAGCTTACCTTGAAGTCACTGTGGTTAGACCCAAAACTGAGCCTCCCCATATTCTCTAGCAATATATCCAGCTTGGCCCCCACATTCCCAGTCAAATATAGTTCCTGTTTCAAGTTCCGTTCCAGGACACCCTTGAATACCTGTGGATAACAGATGGACTCTAGTAAAGGCAAAGGCCCAGCATTCAGTTCTTGGCCACTAGTGAACTGAATAGTGAATCACACTAGAACACTGCATTTGGGGGACAATGTACTCATCTTGTTGGTAATCTACCGTTCTGGTAGTCTGCTTTCTTGAGACAGGGTCTCTATGTAGTCCAGACTGCCAAAACTCACTATATAGCCCATGTGACTTCCCTCCTGCAGCCTGCTGAGTGCTGGGAATGCACACGTGCCCCACTACATCCCTGGGTAAAACCATCCTGAATTACCTTCTTCCTCATCCTAGATAGTTACCTGAACCTCTGTCCATGTGGGCAAACAGGTAGGAAAGGGCTAAAAATGGGGAAACTGTAAACCTATAGGGTTTGAGGGGAAGGGAAGGAACTGAGATAGTAAATTGGTTGGGACTTAGATTCTTACCCCATCCACCATCACATAGGCACGGTCATGAACTCCATTATTTGGCACCCAGAATGGTGTTGGTTCAAAAACAGTGAAAGTCAGATAGGTCCGGTATAGCATAAAGCCATGGTCCTAGATACAGAAGAATGGGTACCTTAAGATGAGGACGGACACTGTGAGGAAGATTGGTAGCTAGAGGAACTTTTGGTTATAGCTATTAAAAGAGTCTGCCATTCCCATCAGATGTGAGTTTATGCCTTACCTGCTTCACAGCCTCAAAGGTCAATGGCAAAACTGAACGGATTGGGCCGTGGGGACAGAGAAAGTCTAGGAAAGACAGCAAATTCCCATCCTGTGAGGAAAAAAAGTGTCTGAATTGAGGGCTGCTCAGAATAAGTGAGTCAGAAAACAATGGTATAAGATCAGGAAAGAGGAGGAGAAACTTACCGGGTTCATAGTCAGAGGTCCAAGCTTCATCTTGGGGCTGGGGGGAGGTAAAGGTCCCAAAGGAATTTCCTGGAACTGAGCCCAAATTCTCTCAGTAGTCATAGGAAAACCAAAATAATCCAAGGCACTAAAGAAGGTTCTTGACCTGAAACCCAGGGACGGGCTGCAGGGAGCCATGAAGACCCTATAATTTTTCACATGTGTATAGTTCCCCCAGATGATCCTATATGAGTGGTAAATGCTTCATGGATTGCTAGGAGGGCCCTGTTACCCAGTCAAACACCACCATTTTGTAGGGTTCCTTAACGATATGGGCATTCTCCCTTCTCCCCAGTTAATAAAAGGGCACCTTGCTGATGACATTTCGAAGTGCAAAAAACTTAGGTGTGAGATCCCCTGCTTCAGATATGGGTGCATCGTAGTCGTAGCTGGTAGTAATTGGAAGGAAGCGCCCCTTCTCGTCAGCACCTGGGTTAAAGTAATTTAATTAATTTAACATCTTAGGTGATAAGTTCTAAGCCAAGAGCTTTGTGCAGAAAGCCTTGTGGTTAGAGGGAATGCAGTAGTAACACCCAGCTTCTAAACACCCTAATCTGTCCAGCCTGAGACTCCAGCCCCTTGTTCCCTCCCTACTTACACCACAGGGACGGTTCTCACCATTCCAGTATCCAAAGTTAGTACCTCCATGGAACATGTACCTAAATGGGGGTAGGTGGGAGAAAGGACCAAGTCGGACATATAAAATCTTAACTCAAAACCCCCACTCCCAGGAACATAGTTGTGTCCCCAGTTACATGTTCACACTGGCTCCCAACTGGAGGATCTTTTCCAGTCCTTGGGCTATATCCAGGCTGGACCGGGTGGAGTGGTTTTGGCCCCAGTAATCCAGCCAGCCTGTATAGTACTCAGAGTTCACCTAGAGGGAGAAGTGAAAGGGGCCACAGTGAGGTGGGAACAGAGCTGGTCCCATTCCAGGCAGGTCATTTTTCTGATTCCCCTTCCTGATGGCCCCTCACCAATGGCCCATGGGGTTCGTAATTCCGAAGCAAGGAAAATATTTTGGTAATGTTGTCAGCTGCAAAAAGAAACAAGGGTAAAAAACAAATATCATAGAGGTGCCCAGACACCACTCCCAACCCTTGATGGGAGACCTGGGCCAAAATCTATAGTGGTATAGAGTCCCTGGAGGGAACCACATTTGAGTCCTTGAGGCCCATCTGTGGTGAAGAGCAAGATCTTGTCTCCTAGTAATGCCCGGAAGAGGCCAGCCAAGTGTCTCATATACTTGAAGTCACAGGCCCTGTAGCTACCATATTCATTCTCCACCTGCCAAAAAGCAAAGAGAGTGTCCCGGCTGTGAGGAAATGAAGGTTAAGGATACCTTGTACCCACTTCTCTTGCCCAGTCCACTTCCCATTCATACCTGAACGCTAATGATGTTGCCCCCATTGTGGTAGAGAAATGGATATATCTTGGGTAGCAAGATGTTGAACCAGGAGTCCACAGCAGCAAGGAAAGCTAAAGGAAGGAGCAGTGAGGTCTGCTCATTAGGGACCACTGGATGCTCCCAGCCCCTCTCCAGCATCCTTGACAGTCTCCACAGTGTGCGGTGCTACACTCCAGGCTCACAACCAAACCCTTTTAGAATTCTATTGTCTTTATTTATTCTTTTATGTGTATGAATGTTTTGCCTGCATGCTGTGTCTTTGTACCATGTGTTGGTGACTGCAGAGGGGGCTAGAAGAGGGCATTGGCTCCTCTGGAACTATAGTTACAGATGGTCATGAGTTACCACATGGGGGCTGGAAGTCAAATCTGCTTCTCTAGAAGTCAGTGCTCTGATGGGCCTAGACTCAGGAGCAGTGACTCTCAGCGGAAACTCTAGGAGTACAGAAAACTATAGTGTTTCCGAAGACTCCACGTAAGAAAACAGGCTAAACATACAATATGGAGCTATTAAATAATCAGCTTACACCAAAGAGTGCTGTGAAATTTCACAGAAAAGTAGCGTTTGGCTTGTATGGACTCTTATCTAATGAACAGTCTATGTGATTTCATGTCTTACATTCTCAACTCCTATTTACTACTTTTATGTTTCCCCCTCAACACCTTCATGCATCTTATTTCCTCTTTCTGACATTTCTCTCCTATCCCCCTTTCTCTAGCTGATGTTAATTTATGCCTCAATTCTTTATGCTCATATTTTTAAATTTGCATTTATTTATTTGAATGTGTATGTATATGCTATTATGATATGACAGCTGAGGGGTGGTTTAGACCAGCAGATAGCAGTAGTTAACCAGAAGTAGTTAAATTCAGTGTTGTTGAGAGTAACACTGACATGAGTATGAGTGTGTGTGTGTGCGTGTGTGTGTGTGTGTGCGTGTATGTGTGTGTGTGTGCGTGTGTGTGTGTGTGCATGTGTGTGCGTGTGTGTGTGCGTGTGTATGTGTGCGTGTGTGCGTGTGTGTGTATAAATGTATGTGGTGTGGTGGCACACGAATGAAAGTCAACCTTCAGGAGTCAACTTTATCCTACCATTTGGGTCCCAAATATCAAACTCTGGTCATTAGACTTGGTGACAGGCATCTTTACTTATGCCTTAATCTTTTTTTTTTTTAATAGACAGGGTCTTCCTATGTAGCCCTGACTGTCTTGGAACTCACTATATAAATAAGACTGGCTTCGAACTCACAGAGATCCGCCTGCCTCTGCCTCCCAAGCTCTAGGATTAATGGTGTGCACCACACCACCTGTCTTAAAAGAAGTTTGTAATGACATTTATTGTGTGTGTGTGTGTGTATGTGGTGTGTGTGCGTGTGTGTGTGTGTGTGCACTCAAGCCATGGCATGCTTGTTGAAGTCAAAGGATAACTTGCAGAAGTTGGATCTCTCCTTTACCACATGCATCCAAGGGAATCAAACTCAGGCTGGCAGCATTGGAAGCGAGTACCTTTACTTGTTGACCCAGCCCATAAACATTTTTTTTTTAATTTTTTGTTTAAAAAAAAGTCTTACAAGGTAGCCGGGACTGGCCTAGAATTTTCTATGTGGACCAGGGTGGCCTTGAACTCATAGATACATGCCTGCCTTTGTCACCCAAGTGCTGGGGTTAAAGACATGTGCCACCACGCCTATATTTTAAAAATCTTAAACTAATTCTTTTTTTTTTTTCCATATGGCGCTGTATCTGTATGTACACCTGCAGGCCAGAAGAGGGCACTGGAACTCATTATAAAGACAGCTATGAGCCGCTATGTGGTTGCTGGGAACTGAACTCAGGACCTCTGGAAGAGCTGTTAATGTTCTTAGCTGCTGAGCCATCTCTCCAGCCCCTAATTATTTTTCTTTTTATGTTTCACATAAAGGAGGTCCATCCAAGCACATATAAAACCACATTTATTCATTCAACAAATATTTATGGGTGCTTACTATGCTTCAAGCACTGTTCTGGGTGTATAGAAGGGAAAGAAACAGGAAAAAAAAGCCTCTGTCTTGTGAATTCCCTTTCTGCGAGTGGAGGTAGACAAACACCCGAGAGAAACTACAAGACGGGAAAGGAAACATACGATAGTTCAGTATGGGATGCTTAAAATTTAGGTGGCAGGAAGTATCATCGATGGTGATTTCTGCAGAGGTGCACACCACATGCAAAGGTCTTAGAACCCGAGGTTGGCAAGTATTGAAGAACAGCAAAGAGGGCAGTGTGGTTGGGCAAGTGAGCAAGGCAGTGCAGCAGATACCAGGAAGACGAGCCTAGGGCCTAGTGCACTGTTTCAAGGAGTATGTAGTTCCTATTCTGAATGAGAGGAGAGCTTATTAGGGAGGGTTAGGCGGAAATATGGTATGATCTGAGATGTATGACTGACCCATTTTCACAGAAGCTCACTGGCTGCTAGACTAAGAACAGACGACACAGGAGGGAAAGCAATCCAGGAAGGGCAATGAGGGTGCAGTTGAGATGCCAGCGAGGGGAGGTTTGGGCCAGCAGAAGTGATTGGAAATCATGAAATCCAATGCTGTTGAGAGTTACACTGACAAGATTTTCTGATGGCCTGAATGCGGGGCCACACGAAAGAGTGTGAATGCAGGAGAGGTGTGCAGGGTTGCACCACAGGGTTTAGAGTGCTCGGGTGGGGTGCAGCGCCACTGGCTGAGACAGCAAGACATGCCAGAAACTTAGTTTCAGTTCCATCGCTGCACCTTTTGTTTGTCTAGGTAGAGAAGCAACATAGGGATTTAGTATGGATAGAGGAAGTCTTAGGAGGAAGCTGCATATTTGGGAGTCATTAGATACTTCATGGGTTAATTCTGTCACACAAATGGATGAGATGACCACACTTAGAACAAAATTAGAAAATATATATATCCAAGCACTGCATCCCAGGACAGTCCAGCACTGAGAGGAAAGGGAAATGGAGACAGATTGAGACTATAGAGGATGGTCTTGCACTAGAGATTCTCCTGTCTGTAATTGGAGACGGGCTTGCAGGTGTGCATCGCATGTGTGCTGGGCATCTCACAGCATTGTAAGTTTACTGTTCCCAATTTCTAGCATTCTGCTAGACATGAAGGAAAGAATAAATGCATGACCTCCAAGTGAGGGAGGCTTGTTCAGGCACTCAAATCTTTTGTCTCAACTCACCTGGATCGGAGGTTCTCAGACGAATATTAGGTTTTCGAAGCAACCAAGATGGGAGACCTCCCTTGAGAAAAACATAAAGGCAACACATAAGCCCACAGGGGTTTTGTTTTGCTTTGAGACAGGGTTTCACTCTGTAGCACAGGCTAGCCTCAAGAACAACAGTCTTCCTGTCTCAGCCTCCTAAATGCTGGGATTACAGGATAAGCTACCCCCTGAGCTGCAAATAGCTTTGCTTTTTTTGGGGGGGGGGGCAATGGGAGAGGTAAGAAGGGAGAGAGCTGGGTATAGTGCTGGAAATGGTCCCTAGAGTATGAGCAGAAAGGAGTATTTGAAGCCCCACAGTTACTTCGCCTTTAGTTCTGCCCTTCTCCAGCTAACTCACCATCTCCCACTCTGCACAGATGTAAGGTCCTGGTCTCAGAATGACCAACAGGTTCGCTCTAGCTGCCTCATTCAAAAAGGCAACGAGGTCCCGGCTGCCGTTAAAGTTATAGACCCCAGGCTCCGGCTCATGGTAGTTCCAGGGCACGTAACTGAGAAAGGAAGATGTTAACAGGACCCAGAGGGAACTAGGGGACTCGGGATTTGCAGAGAGAGAAGCAGCTAAGAGGAGGTTCTGGGAAGCCCTTCCCACCCTTGCCTGAGAAGTCCTGGAGCTCAAACCCTTTTCAAACCCAGTCTGTTTTCCTGGGGACCCATTTCTAAGAAAGAGTGACCACCAAGCGCTCGAGAGCACTTCTTACAACTGTACAGCGTTGAGGCCGCTCAAACGCATCTTGAGAAGCCGGTCGGCCCAAAGTACCCGCGGTACGCGAAAGTAATGCAGGCTGCCAGAAACATAGCGGAACGGGACTCCGTTCAGGAGGAATCTGTCATGTTGCCGATCCACTACGAAGGAGCGAGCCTCTGTCTGCAAGGGAGAAAGCCTGGCTCAGCAGATGTCTGGAGCAAGGGTCAGTATCGATCAAGTGCTTAAGAGATTGAACTGGCCCTGTCGGTGGTTGACCGTCTCTCTTCTTCCGGTTCTGTTTCCCTCCCCTCGACACCCAGACAGGCAGTTGGACCTCTCAGTTTACCTGGGACAGTAGCAGCAGTAGCAGCATCACAAGCCGCAGCAGCAGGGAAGGCAGGGAAGGCGGCATCTTCGCAGCCAAGGCACTTAAAGGTTTCTTCTGCTCTAGGAGGGCTGCCTCCTAGAATCCGTCACGTGGCGGATTCCTGGGAGGGAACCTCAGCAAGCAAAGGGGCGGAGACCACCTCAAGTTTTCAGGCAGTTAACCCGGACTTTGCCTTTTGCCTGCAGCCACCCACTCTCCGCTAGTTTATAAAATCCTCTACATCTTGCTACTCAAAGTGCTGTTCGCTAGTTGGCTTCATCAACATCACTTGGGAGCTCGTTAGGAATGCAGAACCCCGGTCCTACCCCAGACCTTCTACACTGAACTTTGTAGGGTGTCTTGTATCTTCATGGCTAGCAAAGAATCTGGCACATATCAGGTTACATTTATATGAGTGGCTATATGAGTGAGAACTAAGGGCTAAAACAGGTTAAGAAACAGTGAAAAACGTAGAAAAATCTTCATGGTGATCACGACTATGAAAGGGGGTAACTGGGTTACAAGGAGTCTGTTTGGTCACTCTTTTCTTTTCTCTCTTTTCTTTTCTTTCTTTCTTTCTTTCTTTTTTTTTTTTTTTTTGGAGATGCATCCCTTTCCAATATATCTGCCTGTCTAGGCAAGAGATGTAAAACAAACTGCATAGTGCAAAGACTTGGAAATCCAAATGTCCATTTCTCCTGCCTTCACAATTGTAGATGTAAGAATCCGGGTAGAAAACACGACGATTTCTGTTTATTGACACATATTGAAGGCTATGTGTCATATAATATACGAAAGACATTTCATTTAATCTTGAAAAAAGTCAGGAAATAATTATCATTCTCATCTTACACAAGAGGAAAATGAATTAAGTGGCTGTCCAAAGTCACAATTAGTTTAACAGAGCTGAGATTGGAACTAGTCAGTTTGGCCTCATAATTCACAGCCCTTACTTAGCCCTAGGTACTTCTGTCTTACAGCAGAGAAGAGTGAGAATCTGAGAGGCGAAATCTCTTTCTGGAGGTCACACTAATGTGTGAGAGGTCACACTAATGTGTGACCATTAGGACCAGACTTAGAAACCGGCCCTCTGGTTCAAAGGAGCACTCCTACACTAGCTAAGGCAATGGAACACAGGCCAGAGGTCTGAAAGTGCTACGGGATCAGACCTCCAGGCATCTAAGGGTCAGCACCCATCCCTCCCTGGACCCTCCTCCAAGCTAGACTGTAGTAGGCTACTTTCTGACTCCAGCGCGCGGGAGGTATGAGGCCTCCTACCTCCGACATTGGGAGACGGAGGTCCTAGGGGCCTCAGGTAGAGCCCGGTTTTTCTCCCCTTTGGTACAAGTCCCTGCGTCTTGACCCCTACTGAAGGCCAAGTGGGAACCCTCGGGGAGATACAGGAACCATTCCACGTCCCCAGGTCTAGCCGGGCCCCCGCCTCTCACTTCCGGGTCCCCACATCCTCTTGCTACCGCTACCTCTTGTTGCTAGGATACGGCGGGCCGTTACTTCGACGCGGACTGATGATGTCACCGTGGCTTCCGGTCCCTGGCTCTTTGGTCAGGCCCGAGCCAGGTCAGTGAAGAGTCTGTACTGGAAGATCCTGTGCTCGGTCCGGGGCTTCGGAGGGTGGGCTCAGCCAGAGGTGGGCTCGAGTCCCGCACCTCCTAAGCAGCCACCCCATGCCCGACGGGCGTGAGAGCCGGACCTGGCCGAAGGTGTGCCGGGGTTGGAGGAAGCGGCCTGGTAAGACGCAGCGTGGCTTGATGCTCTGAAGCGCCAGAACTCAGCCTTCTTAGTGCTAGAGTCGCCAGGGCCTATTTTCTTTAGACGCGAATCTGGATTCCTGGAGCTGGACCTGAGCTCTCCGTATTGGTACCTCAGTGGCTCTCAGAATTGTTCTTGACCCTCGACCTGTTTTCATTCCAGCATGCTCCGCTGGACCCCCAGCCCATCGCCTGGAAGAGCCCACTCTCCCTGGAAGACAGACCATCCTTGAAGAGAATGACTGAGACATGGGCCACGCACTGTGTGTCTGCTCCCGGGGAACTGTCAGCATTGACAATAAGCGTTACCTCTTCATCCAGAAATTGGGGGAGGGGTGAGTGTTTGGAAGTCACTTAGCTAGTCCCAGGTCATTTAGGGACAGTGGCCAGCAAGTGATAGAGACATAAGAAGCCTTAGATTCTACCTCACCCGTCTTAGCTGAATGGGTCAGGAAAGTGGAATCTGGACCCTGGCCTCCTGGATCCACCTTGTGTGACCTTAAGTAAACTGTGGTTTCTTCATCTACTTAATGGAGATGATTATAATGACTCACCGAGGAACTTGGGAGAACTGAGATAGTATATTTTTTAAAATATGTCACCCAGTGCCTGGCTCATAAGCTCTCGATAAACGTTGGTTGGTACTTGATAGTAATTGAATATCTTGTGCTCTGACCGTAGAACCGCAGTGATTTCTGTGTCCCTGCTCTTGAGGAGCTCAAATCCTGAGTCTTGAAACTGTATGCGAGCCACATCTTGGGAGGGTTTCTACTCCATCCATGTGCGAGGCACCCCTCCCTAAGGGAATTCCTCTGGGTCCAAGCTGTGTGGGAGATGGTCCTTCACTGACCCCTTTGGCCCACAGTGGGTTCAGCTATGTGGACCTAGTGGAGGGGTTACATGATGGACACTTCTACGCCCTGAAGCGAATCCTGTGTCACGAGCAGCAGGACCAGGAAGAGGCCCAGCGAGAGGCAGACATGCATCGTCTCTTCCAGCATCCCAACATCCTTCGCCTCGTGGCTTACTGTCTGAAAGAACGAGGTGCCAAGCAGGAAGCCTGGCTGCTGCTACCTTTCTTCAAGGTCAGAAAGGCTGGTGATTCCAGAAGGGAATTGTATCAGATTGCACGGCTCTCCCAAGGGCTCTGTGGGTAATCAGACATAAATACGCTAGGAACACATGTCCTGGTTTGGGCCATTTTAAATTTGGGGCTATTCGACATCCTACAAAGCCCCAGATGATCAGTAACAGGTCTATGTGGCAAAAGGTTAACAGACTTTAATACAGAACAGAAGTGAGTCCCAGGTAGTAGAGCCTTCAATGACATCTCAACCCAGGAAAATTTGTGTTGTAGAGAGGTACACTGTGGAATGAGATAGAAAGGCTGAAGGACCAAGGCAACTTCCTGACTGAGGACCAAATCCTTGTGTTGTTGTTGGGTATCTGCAGAGGCCTTGAGGCCATTCATGCCAGAGGCTATGCACACAGGTCAGTGGGACCCTATGCACTTATGGCACCAAGGGGAGAAGAGCTGTGCCAAGAGAATTGGGGTATCCCTGCACTCTCCCCATGGTGTTCCCTGGGATCCCAGCTTCCCCATACCGGATATCCTTGGATCATTTTCCCTTCCCTCCAGGGACCTGAAGCCCACCAATATTTTGCTTGGTGATGAGGGGCAGCCAGTTTTAATGGACTTGGGTTCTATGAATCAAGCGTGCATCCAGGTGGAGGGCTCACGCCAGGCCTTAACTCTACAGGTAAGAGAATCTCCAGGTTCTTTGGCCATTGCCTTCCCATTCCCAACTCCTTCTGATGCATACACCAACTGGGTCACGTGATATGGCTTGTGCTCCACTTTTGAGTGCTGTTGCACTGTTCCAGGACTGGGCAGCCCAGCGGTGCACCATCTCCTACCGGGCACCTGAGCTTTTCTCTGTGCACAGCCACTGTGTCATCGATGAGCGGACTGATGTCTGGGTGAGGAGCATGTGGCTGGGAACCTGGGAGGAGAAGGGTGTGGCTCTGTACTACTATGGAGGAAAAAGAAGGAGATATTTGGTTTCTGTTGCATGAATCTCCAGAACCACAGTATGTCTCCATATCTCTACTTCCTTCCTGGGAACCGTCACTGGTACTGTCCTCAGGAAGTGGTGTCATCTCTGTGGCTGAACCGGGTGAACTGTGGCTGGAGGCAATAGCTAAGCAGGGGCTCGAGAAGCCTCCTGCTAACACAGTTCCTCTGGGTGAGGTTGGCATACTTTTAGCTTACATGGTCTTCTTTTACCATAGCAATAAATAGGATACCATTTTTCCCCTTTCCAGTAACTAACCAAATTATGCTCAGTCCCTAGGCTGTGTGCTTTACGCCATGATGTTTGGGGAAGGCCCTTATGATATGGTGTTCCAGAAGGGTGACAGTGTGGCCCTTGCTGTGCAGAATGAACTCAACATCCCACAAAGCCCCAGGTGAGCAGCAAGAGAGACACCAAGCACTGTAGACTCTTGCCTAGAGCCAGCCAAGTTGGAATCTTAGCAATTGTAGGAGTCCTCCATTCCTCTGCCTCCACCCCCACAGGCATTCTTCAGCTTTGCGGCAGCTTTTGGCCTCTATGATGACTGTGGACCCCCAGCAGCGCCCTCGCATTCCTGTCCTCCTCAGTCAGTTGGAGGCATTGCAGCCACCGGCTCCTGGCCAGCACACCACCCAAATCTGATGAAACGGGCATGTTGGGAAGACAACCTTGAAGGCTTCATCTCACTGGAACTCCTTCCATTCTACCCAGGATGGCTTTCATAGCTACGGGCGAGGATTGTGGGCCCTTGTGTGTTCTGCTCTCTGATCCCAATACCTGGGCAAGGAGCCTAGGGTGAATTGGAGGAAACTGAAACAAAATAGGGCTCAAAGCTGGACTGCTGGGCACACATCATGTTCTGCCTCCAAATCTGGGGGCAGGAGAATACATAAACAGAATAAAGTGAAAAGACCATGTTCTTATTAGGTCAATGTGTCTGGAGGGAAGGAGCAATGAACTGTCTGGCTGCCATTTCCAAGGGAATAGCCTGGAAGGGGACTGGTGTGATGGTCGAGGCAGATGTGCTTCTTGAGATTTGGCTGCTCTGGCAGCAGAGGGGTCTTTAAGCTCGCCTTAGTCAAAACCAGAAGAGTCTCCAGCCTGAACTGGTTTCTGCCTGTGCCAAGAAGCGGGACCATGGCCCCTTGAAAGCACACTCAACTAGTTCTGTCATTCATTCCAGAGGTGGGTAGCTTAGACCAGCCTAGCCCGGCAGGTTTGCCAAGTCCACGACCTCTGGGTGGAAGCACACCAGCTCTCCTTTCCTCAGCTGAGGACTAGGGAGTGGCACTGGGATCCATTTTTTTCCAGTCTCCCTGACTATTCTAGCTCATACATAGTTAATAATTAATGAGGCTGGTGGCCTGTGGTATCCAGCAGGCACTTCCTGCCCCGTTTGCTGAGTAAACAGGCACCCAGCCTTAGCTGGGCTTTAAACCAGTTCCTCAGGGAAGGGCACTGTGTCCCTGAATCACCAGGGAGGGAAGGGCAAGGGCAGGGTTGGCTCTTCTGGAGATTTTGAAGCTTTTTCCCCCAAGCCATGGCCACCCCTATATGCTGACGTCAACCTGAGTCCTAGGGTGCCTATTAGTGAAGTATAATTTTTCCCTAGGGACCAGGCAGGCTTCCACCCTGAGCAGAGGCTGAGGCCAAAAGAACACAAACAGAAGGGAGACGTCCTGACTTTTAATAGCATAGCTCCCGCCCCAGAAAGCAAGACAGACAGCAAGCTATGCAAAGCTGCTGGAGGTGAATGGCACAAACAACCAGGAGATTGCCCTTGTTCCCGCCCATCCCCCAAGTCTGTGAGGTGGCTTTATGCCCAGGAACTTTGGGCCCGCCCAGCCCCCATTCCCAAACCCTCAGTGTACAACAAAGCTTGGGCCAAGCCTTGCTTCTAAAGCTGTTGAGTGAAGCGGCAGCAAGAGCAAAAGCAGTCCAACCTTCCAACACAAACTACCAGACGTCATTTCCTATTTGCAAAAGCGAAGACTTGGATCTTGCAATAGTTTGTAGCTAGACAGGTCCAGGATTTGGTCCTCCTTTCCTTCCTATACTGGGTGTCCGTAGGACCTAACATCAATGTCCTTAGGTTCATACTTTCTGGGTCTCAATATGGGGCTCACCTTGAGCCATGTAAGGGTAAAAGGTCAAGGGTGGGCGGCAAATAGCAGGAAGTAGCAGCCACAGCAGAAGCTCAAGCAGTCACATAGGGGACAAGAAATCGTGCCAAGGAGACTTTATTTCGAAAGGATTTTGCAATAAACACAATGAAAAGAGGCTCCAAGTGGCTGTCTACTCTTCTCCCTCATCCTCATCCTCATAGGAGTCGATGCCTACTTCCTCATAATCCTTTTCCAGGGCAGCCATATCCTCTCGAGCCTCAGAAAACTCACCCTCCTCCATGCCCTCACCCACGTACCAGTGTACAAAAGCCCTCTTGGCATACATCAAGTCAAATTTGTGGTCCAGGCGGGCCCAGGCCTCAGCAATGGCAGTGGTGTTGCTCAACATGCACACTGCACGCTGCACCTTGGCCAGGTCACCCCCAGGCACCACAGTGGGTGGCTGGTAGTTAATACCAACCTTGAAACCTGTGGGGCACCAGTCCACAAACTGGATGCTGCGCTTGGTCTTGATGGCAGCGATAGCAGCGTTCACATCCTTGGGCACCACGTCTCCACGGTACAGCAGGCAGCAGGCCATGTACTTGCCATGCCGAGGGTCACACTTCACCATCTGGTTGGCGGGCTCGAAGCAAGCATTGGTGATCTCTGCCACTGACAGCTGCTCATGGTAGGCCTTCTCTGCAGAGATGACGGGTGCATAGGTGGCCAGGGGGAAGTGGATTCGAGGGTAGGGTACCAGGTTGGTCTGGAACTCTGTCAGGTCCACATTTAGGGCCCCATCAAAGCGCAAGGAAGCTGTGATGGAGGAGACAATTTGGCTGATGAGACGGTTGAGGTTGGTATAGGTTGGACGCTCGATATCCAGGTTACGGCGGCAGATGTCATAGATAGCCTCGTTGTCCACCATGAAGGCACAGTCTGAGTGCTCCAAGGTGGTATGGGTGGTCAGGATGGAGTTATAGGGCTCTACCACAGCTGTGGACACTTGTGGAGCTGGGTAGATGGAGAACTCCAGCTTGGATTTCTTGCCATAGTCAACAGAAAGTCGCTCCATCAACAGGGAGGTGAAGCCAGAGCCGGTGCCCCCTCCAAAACTGTGAAATACTAGGAAGCCCTGAAGTCCTGTGCACTGGTCAGACTGAAAGGCAAGGAAGAAAAAGCAATATAGGTAGGGGAGAGGCCCAAGAAATTTTCTTCTAGTTTTATGAAGCCTAAAGTATTTCAGAAGTTAGGGCAAAGACTGAATGACCCCCTAAACAGCATCAAATTCTAAAACACATAAAGCTGGAGATGATCCTGGAAATGGATCTGAAAACTTCCTGAACATGGAGTCCAAAGTTCCCTCCCTGCCAAGCTATAGTCTCACCAGTTTGCGGATCCGGTCCAGCACTGGGTCGATAATTTCCTTGCCAATGGTGTAGTGACCACGGGCATAGTTGTTGGCCGCATCTTCTTTCCCAGTGATAAGCTGCTCTGGATGGAAGAGCTGGCGGTATGGGCCATTTCGGATCTCATCTGAAAGACCATACACCATATTACTGAGCCCAAAACCACAAGGCTGTGCTAAGCAGAGACCCTCAGAGTGGCAGCTAAAGCCAGACACATGCAAAAACCAGCCTGGGGTCAGCATCCATCTTCATCAGCAAATAAAGTCAAGGGGCTCCAAGATCACAGAAACCCAGTCTACACACTCTTCCCCAGAAGTGCACCCCCCGGCTCACCAATCACAGTCGGCTCCAGATCCACAAAGACTGCCCGAGGCACATGCTTTCCGGCTCCAGTTTCACAGAAGAAGGTGGTGAAGGAATCGTCCCCTCCACCAATGGTCTTATCGCTGGGCATCTGCCCATCAGGCTGAATCCCATGCTCCAGACAGTAGAGCTCCCAGCAGGCATTGCCCATCTGGACACCCGCCTGCCCCACGTGGACGGAAATGCATTCACGCTGAGGGATACAGAGGAGGTCACAGCGTAAGTGCCACATCCACAACGCCTCACTTCCCAAGGGTCTCTCCCACCCCGACACCTATTAGCTAAGGTTACTCAGTACAAGTGTGGCAAGTAAGGTTGGAGCTGACAGAGGTCAGAAGCAGCTGGCAGCCTCTCCAGTCTCAGCAGAGGACTCCCCAGATTGGAGGCGTCCAGTAGGGGAGACCGACCCCTTAGCCTAGTTCTTGATAGAGAATTTATCAAGTGAGAGCTGTATAATCCTGTTCCATCCACAGGACAGCCAGAGAGGACAGAGAGGGCATGCACACATGATACATGACAGGCAGGGCTGCAGCGTGTGTGTGTGTGTGTGTGTGTGTGTGTGAGAGAGAGAGAGAGAGAGAGAGAGAGAGAGAGAGAGAGAGAGACAGACACAGAGAGAGAGGCTTTCCAGCTGCTTCCAGTTCATGCAGCTTCTAAAATATGTTTTACAGTTTACAGATAGCACCCTCCTATTTGGTTAACCTTTGTCTTGAAAATGAACTAAAATTTCTCACAACCCTCTGCCCTTCTTTCCTGTAGGCAAAGAAGTGTCTCAACCTTCCATCTGGTATCAACTGACCATTTCGGCCATCAGGATGCGGTAACCCCCACCACCTTTAAATCCCATCTGGCCTTGAGGAATCAATTCCATCTGGCTCCTCTCCCCACCTCCACCCCCACACTCTGCATGGCTTCACCACCTCCATCCGCCGCCTCAGCCCGCACGGAAATAGCAGCAATAATGCGGGTAAGCGCTGACGGCAGGTACAGGCAATACAGGTATACTGGTGCAGACAGCCCCGAGGCTTCGGTCAAGCAGTCCACAATTTAACCCCTGCAGCACCCTTCGCACAACCAAATGGCTGGGGTGGGGGTAGGGGTGGGGGTGTTTGCAATTTCTAAGTACCCAGAAAAGGAAGCGGAACCTGCTAGGAGGCCTCTGAGGAAACCCGCCTTGCCTCACGCACCAGGCAAGGGGAGAGCCATCTGTACCTGGGCCCTACGTCTTGCTTTCCTACTGGAGTCTTTCCAGTTACTTCCCAGCAGAAAGCCCGGATTGGGTTTCTGCCCCCGCTCCTGGGCTATAAATACAACCCCCTACATACACCTCTTTCCCCTCCCCCGCCAACCTGGCCTCGGCCGGGGCTGTAGATCAGCGCCAGCTGTCTCTGCCCGTCCTTCGAGCACCCGCGCTCCCGTAGGAGGGGCCCGCTGGCCTCCCGAGGCCAAACCCCATTCCCGCCACCTCTCCTGGCTCAGAAGGGGGTGCTGAGTCACGTATGGGGGTATAAGAGGGAAGGAGGCACACAGAGGAAGACGGGGTGCGGTACTAAGTAACCCCTTCTACCAACTGGTGCCAAGCACGTGTTTGGTCAGTTTCAGGGACTCAGGGGATAGAGATGGGTGGTGGGGGCAGCCAAGCAGGTCTTCCGCCGCCAGAGGGGAGGACTGGGCGCAGGACCGCGTGACTCCTCTCAGGAGGGTTGGGGTACAAAACGGCAGGAGGGCACTACAGCAGGGGTCCTCTCTGCTAGTGAAGCATCCTTCCCCCGGTCCCCAGACTCTGAAGAAGGTGGATAACACACTAGGCCAAAGTCAGCAGGAGGAGTCGGGGGGAGGGGGGGAGTGCAAAACTCCTGCATCTCCCGGAGACTCGGAATGCTAAGTGAAGGGCCCCCAGCATCTCTATTGGGAGTTCCCCCAAAGGAGCGGGGCATTTACAGGATCAGAGAGATCCCGGTGGGGCCTCACTCACCATGATGAGTCTGGGTTGTGCGTCTCACGTAGAGTCGGGGTCACGGGTCTCGGTGAGATC